TCCCACGAGGACGTCCTCCAGGTGGGCGGAGCTGTCGGCCAGGCCCCATCCCCCCATGACCCCCAGAAGGCCCAGGGCCCGATCTTCCAGAAAAAACAGCTGCTCTCCCAGTTCTGCCTTCAGGGGGCGGGGAGGTGGCTGGACTACGGGCTCTCAGCTCTCAGGCCCTCCTGCGTGAAGGGGCGGAGCCCCAGCTGCCCTCACGCTGTCCTCTGGACAGGGCTGGGCAGCGCCCCTCTCAGTGCATTTGTGGACTGAAATTCTCTGACAGGGTCTCTTTATCCTGAGGCTACAGGCAGCCCCAAAGAATCATCTGAAATCTGAGCTGCTCCTGCCTGGAGTGGCTGAGAGCAGGATCTCAGGAGCCCGACGCCAAGCAGTGAGCATAGACCAGGGTGCCTGCGCAGCGCTCCCGCCAGACGCCTCCTCCAGGAAGCCTCCCAGATAGCACTTGGGCTGGGTCAGGTGCTGCCGCTCGGCGTGCCTGGTGGGAGTGAGACTCATGTTTGTGCCTCTGTCTCTGTGGCCCACAGGAACTTGGGAGTCTGGCTTTCGTGGCAGCTCCGGCTCCTGGAACAGTGCCTGCCAGGCCGGGAGTACTTGGGGAATATTTGCTGAAAGCATGAATGACCTCCTGAGGGCCCCTGGGCCCGGCACTGTGTGTCACACATGACGTCTTGCCCTACCTCGGGGCAGGTCCCATCCTCGAGCCCACGTTCACCGAGGAGGAACCCAGTGCTCGCAGAAGCACCCATCACCTCCCTCCAGTAAACGGCAGAGCAGGGATTCGAGCCCAGATGAGTCGGCCAGGCTCCAGCTTCCACCACTGGCGGCAGTGTGTCCCATAGAACTTTCTCCGATGAGAGAAACGGTCTCAATGCTGGGCTCTCCGATACGGTGCCCACCAGCTACATGTGGCTGTGAAGCCACTGGGACGTGGCCAGTGCCACTGAAGAGTGGGATTTTACATTTTTGTTTCCTTTGAGTTTAAATGTAAGCGGCACGGGCAGCTGCCGGCTGTGGTCAGACAGGGAGGCTCTGGCGCTCAGACGCGGCGGCCTAACACCCAGGCGGGGCCCTGTCGGCTTCGTCCTGGTTTGAGGCCGTGGGTCCCCGACCACAGCCCTGTCACCGAGAACACACCTGTCCTTATCCTTATCGCCACGTGTTGAGTGTGTGTTAACCCTCATGGCCACCAGACGTTCTTGGGGGGCAGGTTGTGCTGGGTTCTTGGGGCTCCTCCCCGATTGCCGTCAAGAGCTGGGAAGCAAGGCTGCTGCCGTCCTCTGCTCTGCAGGGTGACTGCCGGCTGCTCGGCCAGCCAGGGCCACGCCTGCCTCGGGGACGGCTTGCTTTCTCCTGGGTCACAGCTCAGAGCTCAGGGACACGCAGCCCGTGTCTCCCTGGTGACCTGTGGCGGGTGCCAGCCTGGCCACAGATGAACACAAACTCCCCTCTGTGGGCTGAAGCGCTGGGGGCCTCGGGTCTCTGAAGCTCCTGGGCCCCTGGAGCAGGGTCAGCGGGAACTCGGGACGGGACCGGGCACCTTCTCCGGCTTCACCCTCTCTCGAGGGCCACAGACAAAAGCAAGGGAGGAGTTTCCCCTTCTCCAGGGAACTGCAGCTCAGAACAGACACCGTAAAGGAATTCTGCAAAGTGTCTTCATTTCCCGACGTGGCCAGTCAGCTGGGAGCAGGAAAGAGAACGCCAGGCATCACCCCAAGGGCTCAGCACGCTAGGTGGCCAGAGCCCCCGCCCCTCCCCTGGGCTCGGTGCTGCAGCGTTTCCTCAGCGGCCGTGGAAGCGCCCAGGAGCAGGCTTAGCCGTCGTTCACAGCTCTTTGGCTGCTCTAGTGTGGAAAGCTGAGCCACTCTGTTCTGGGAAGGAGGGCGCAGTCGGGAGGAAGTTACCCTCTCGGCACACTGGCCAGTGACGACCCAGGAGCTTGTCCAGGAGCCACCAGGAGGGAGTGGCCGTCCTGCGTGCCCTCCTCTGACGCTGTCACTGGGGGCTGCAGAGAAGGTGGAGGGCGGGGCAAGGAGGGAGCCCGCCGGCAGCCCCACCCTCTGACTGTGGAGTCAACCCCACCCCCGCCTTGACCTAGGCAGCCTCCGCAGGGCCAGGATGGGTCCTCGGAGCCACCAAAGGGGAACAGAAGCCCTCGGCTGCCCTTGGGGAGCCTGAGATTTCTGTGCCCGCACTCTGGACAGTCCCAGAGATCCGAGGGAGGCCTTGGGCTGTGACCCTCCGCCTGTGTCACCGCGTACCCGCTGGGCTGTGATCGTAATTAGGGCAACCGTAACGGCTACCCGTGCTGAGCAGGTGTTAGATCACCTCACTACAGGGATGTCCCCGTGGAGGCTCTGACGGGCTAGCGCTTTGTTCCAGGTCACCCAGAGGATGCGTGGTGAGCTGAGGCCTGTCTGGCAGCAAAGCCTGTGTTCTTGGCCCTGGTCACGTGTCTGCAGACTGGGGTCCCTGCTCCCAGAGGAGTGTGACCCAGGGTCAGGCAGGGCGAGCCCCTCCCCACCTGGGAGGGTGGGGCGACGCAGCAGCCTCTGTCTCCCTCCCCCGCAGGCTGCAGGCCTGCCCACCCTCCCTGGAGGTTCAGGAAAGGGACCCTCCCCAGCGTGTTTCCCTGCAGGCCCAGTGCTGAGGCTGAGCGAGGGCAGGCCGCTCAGCCGCCCCTTTTCGTGGTTTCTGCAGGTCTGCTGTCCGACATCTGGCAGAAGTCCCTGAGCTTTCTGGAGTCCCTGAAGGTGTGTCACCCTTAGGCCCCTTCTGTTTGGGGGTTGGCTGAGCGGCAGAGGCCCCAGGCGGGGAGCTGTAGAAATTAGAAGGAGGGAAGAGAGCCTGGAGAGGGAGAAAAGCCCTGGGACCGGCCCAGCCGAGGAGGGAGGCTGCAGGCAGGGGAGCAGGGTGGTGGGCTGGCCGGAGGGGGTCCTTCCGGGGGACCCTCCGAAAAGGCTCCTGTTCTTGGAGGTGGCACCGCCTGCCCTCTGAGCTGAGGACTTGCCAGGGAGCCGCGGGGGGCGCAGCAGGCGGGGAGCCCGGGGAGCCCTGAGGTTGGGCCCTCCCCACAGCTGGGCGAGCGGAAGCAGGAACAGACGCTGGCCCTTCTGCGGCAGCAGGCGGAGCTGGAGGTCTGGGAGACGCAGAGGCCCTGGGGGAGCTGCTCTTGAGACATGGGCTGGAAGTCAGCCGGCCGACCCTTCCAGGGCTGCCACAGGCTGGCCCCACTGCCTGCCAAGGGGCAGCACTGCCCCTGCTGCCCGGCCAAGCCTGTGGAAGGCTGGTGGAAAGCACGCGTCAGGCTGGGGAGGGTGTGCCGAGGAGGGCAGAGCACAGCTGCCCGCAGAGGCTGGAGGATAGGCTGAAGAGGACGCCCATTTTACAGCAGAAACAGGACTTTTTTTCCACTAGTGTTCTGGGGACCCCTGGCTGGGGTGACAGATGACAGCCTGGGCCTCCCACCTGCCCGTGTCCCGGGCTTGTGGGCACCTGAGCTTCGGGGTCTCCATTGAGCTCAGGACCTGAGGTGTGAGGGTCCCGGGGGGTCTACCCCGGAAGGGAAGGGGCCGCATCTCCAAGCCCGCCTCTGCCCAGCCCCCCGGCCCAGCAGCGCCCCGCAAAGGGGAAGACGGTACCCAGCCCCGGCGAGGACAGGATATGTGTGATCTAGCTGCATGTGACGACCCTTCTGGGAAGTGACTCTTTCTTCTCTGGGTCATTGGTCCAGGGACTGTTCATGGGATGTACTCACAGTACATTTAGGGAGGCCTTCCCAGGAGAGCAACCAAACCCCAGGCAGCATGTGCATGCCTGTGCACGTGTGTGTGTGCACATGTTTGTCTGTGTGTGCACACCTGGCCCCGTTTCCCTTTCTTCCTTCCCCTTCTGCCTATTTGCAGCATCCCACCTGCTGAGTAACTGCGGCCACAGCAGCGGAATGCAGAGCTGTGGTTTCCTTCCCAGGTGTCCATTAAGCCGCACTGCACCCCCCTGCGTCCCATCCCCCCAGGTGGTGCTCCAGGCCTGGCCGTGCTCCCTCTGCTGGGCACCTGCCACCCAACCCCCACCCCTGCCATGTCCAGCCTTCTCTGGGGGACAGAGAGGGTCTGTCAGCCCCCCATGGAGGGTGGACAAACGAGGCCTCTGAGGTTGGAGACTTGCCCGGCCTTGGGCGCTTCCCTGGGACCCCGCCTTGCCCACTGCTTGTGAGGCCGCCTGGTCCCCACTCCACAACACACACCATCTTCCTGCCCTCCCAGTGGCTGATGGAGAAACGCTCGACCCAGGCCAGGCCAGGAATGGCCTTGGAGCTGGAGCAGCCACAGGTGTGTGTGGACCTGGAGCTGCAGAGCTCTGGGAGCACCGTGACAGCCAGACCCAGGTGTGGCCCCCTCCCAGCGCAGAGGGGGGGGGGCGGGTGGGGTCTCAGACAGGCAGTGTGAACCACATTGCTTCCTCGCCGGGCAGCCCACACCCACGCCCGGGTGGAGACGTGGCCGCGCCCTCTCCGAGTCCCGAGGAAGGAAAGAGTTGGGCGGACAAGTCAGCTCAGGCAGGTGAGAGTCCTCGGAGCCAGCCACGCAGCAGCCGGCACAGCACACTCCCCGCGTGGGCCTCGAGGGGGCGGCTGGGTCAGGCACCCAACAGAGAGGCCCAGTGATGGGGCGACCTGCCCACGGCCACGTGGGGAGCATGGACCTGGGGTTTGAAACTATGTGTGTCTCATGCCAGAACCGTGTGGTTGACCATCGGGCAGCACTGCCTCCTGCTCGTAAGGGCAAGCACGGGCCACCATCCCCACCCACCCAAACCTGGGGGCAGTGAGCCTGGATGACGGCGAGAAAGATTTCGGTTAGACACGCAGTGAAACAGCCCAACAGTGGGGCTGTGGCCGAGTAAGGAAGAGTGCGGGTGGGTCGTCTGCCCTTGCTCTGGGCAGACCTGCAGGGTGGCCGTCACCATCTCCCCCAAGTCCTGCTTACAGCCTGTCCGTGCCCCTTGGGGAACAGGCAGCCCCACACTCTTCCCAGGTTTGCCAATACGTCCACCTCCGTCCCTCTGTCCCTCTGAGAGGTTTTCCCTGAGGCCTCTCAAGTGCTGGCCCCATGAACACCCGGCTCAACTCCCCTTACTGCATTGTGTGTTGGCAAATAGGGGTCCCTTATATGCAGGTTGTAGGGACAGCGCAGCAAAACCTCTGGGAGTTTGAGCCCTGGCTGAGCTGGTGGGGGCAGACGGTGTGAGCGCAGCCCCAGCCGGGCACGTCACCTCCCCATGAGGCTTTGCTCCTGCGCCTGACTTCCAGTTTCATTTCCTCGCGGTCGTATGAGCCTGAATATGTTGGGATGTGGGTCTATCTTGGCGGATGTTCCACGTGCTCTCGAAAAGAAGCTCTGGTATTAGGCACATCAACGTTTAGGAGTGTCTGCGCTCTTGGTGAACTGATTCCCTTAAAATTCTCTCCTTATGGAATAACCGTCTCTGTCCCCAGTGACCCGCTCTGCTCTGCAGCCTCTGCTGTGTCTGCTACTGACCCAGCCACTGCGTCTTCCCCATAACGAGCGCTGGCTGGTCTGTCCTTTCCATCCTTCCACTTTTCACTGAGCTGTGCTTTTGTGTCTCAGGTGTGTTTCCTGGAGGCAGCAGCTAACTGGATCTTGCTGTTTGTCTTATCCAGTCTGACAATCTCCGCCTCTAAACCGGAATGCGTGGCTATTTCCGTTTAACAGAATTACCAGTATTCTTAGGCTCTGAGTCTATCATCTCGCTGTTTTCTTTTGTCTCAACTGTCCTTTTTCTTTCCCCTCTTCTGCCTTCTTTTGGATTAAACAAGGTTTTTTTTGTTTGTTTTTACGATTCCATTTTCTCTCTGCTGATGGCTTATGAGCTATAACTTACCTTAGTGGTTGCATTAGGATTTACTGTGGTACCTGGGGTCCACCTTCACGTGACATTCCACCGGCTCACCTAGTGTAGGAGGCCCTTACAGCCCTCCATTTCTTTTTTTCTGGACTTTAGGCTATTGTGGTCATGCATTTTACTTTATTTTATAATTGCACAATACATTGTTATTGTTTTAAACACTCAGCAATCTTTTAAAATTTATATATCAGTATATTTATCTATATGTATATACACACACGTGTGTATATGCATATGTGTATGTATGTGTATATGTGTGTGCATATATATATATATATATTTTTTTTTTTTTTTTTTTTTTTCCATTTCTGGTGCTCTTCATTCCTTGCGGTCGCCCAGATTTTCACCTCTGGCATCATTTTCCTTCTGCCTGAAGGACCTCCTTTAACATTTCAGGGAGTGCTGGTCTGCTGGAGACAAATTCTTTTGTTACCGAGTCCAAGCTCATACTGCTCACCCCTCAAAAGACAATACTCGAGAGACAAGTGTTGGTAGAAAGGAAAGGTGGTTTTATCCCGAAGGCCAGCAACTGGGGCGAGAAGGCAGACTCACGTCCAAAGGCCAACTCCCCGTTGCCTATCAAGGGGCAAGAGTTTTTTTTTTTTTTTTTGGCCACACTGCATGGCATGATGTGGATCTTACCCAGACCAGGATTGAAGCCCGTTCCCCCTGCAGTAGGAGTGCAGAGTCTTAACCACTAGACCGCCAAGGAAATCCCAAAGGGCAAGAGCTTATAAAGGGGACTTTCAGGGGTAGGTGGAGGGAGGGGGCTACGTGCAGAGCAGCACAGTCAGCTCCGATAATCATCTTAAAATTAGTCACGTGGTGGTCTGATCAGCATCATCTTGATTGCTTTTTTTTTTTTTTTTTGGCCGCGTTGGGTCCTCGTTGCTCAGCACGGGCTTTCTCTTAGTCGCGGCAAGCGGGGGCCCCTCTTTGCCGCGGCGCGTGGGCCTCTCACTGCAGTGGCTTCTCTTGTTGTGGAGCACGGGCTCTAAGCGCAGGCTCAGTAGTTGTGGCGCACGGGCCCAGATGCTCCGTGGCATATGGGATCCTCCCGGACCAGGGCTCAAACCCGTATCCCCTGCATTGGCAGGCAGATTCTCAACCACTGCGCCACCAGGGAATTCCTTGATTGTTTTAGGTACAGTTAGTCTTCACTTCCAGGGTCGGTTTGTTCCCATTTCTTGGAGGCCAGTTCTCAGAATTGCGGCAGCTTATGTCGTGGCTACAGCCTGGTCATCATGTAGTAAACGTCTTCCACCCGGCGGGGGTTTCAGTATCTACAAGACAGCTCACAGGATACGGCTCAGGATGTGATCTCTAGCCCTTGAGGAGGAACTAAAGGTCCTCGACTTTGTTTAATGACTAAACTATGATTATTTTGTCCTGTTTGACTACTTTCCTTTGCTTCCACATTTTCTCACTTCTCTGATTAAATTTATTCTTTGACAAAAGTTTTTCTACAGACAAAAGGCAGGCCAAGGACATGGCGGGGAAGGACCATAGGGTCCTGCTCTGTTTCATGGCCTCTTGAAGATTTGGCGTGAAGGTTATGTGTGTGTGGAGGGTGGGTACTAGGCAGCCCAGACATCCTAGCTCTGTGAGGTCCTCTTGTAAAAAAACGGCCCCTGGAGCCCCTATGTGACCCGACCATGCCTGCTTTCTGTCCTCAGAGCCTGTGCAGGAACGGAAACCAGACCAGACCCCCTCGCAGCTGCCCCTGGCCAGGCTCTACCCTTGGGACAACCCCATCCTCCAGGTACAGGAGAGGTCCCTGGGGGAGGGGCACGCGAGTGGGACCCAGTGGTGTCACTGGCACTGGGTTATCAGACCCAGTCCTCCCTCAGCTGCCTGGGGGCCATCAGGTGTTGAGACCCACCTCTCCTAGAGCCTGCACCCAGGGGCCTCCACTGCAGGTCCTGGGCTGTGGGAGGCTCTCCCTGCCGTGGGTACCACCCACCCTTCCAACTGACATCTGCTCAAGCCCCTTCCTCAGCCTGCGGTGGCAGGTGACGGGGAGGCATTTCAACAGGTGTTTCGGGCTGGGCTGGCCGGGACAGTGCCGGTGGCACACTTCAGGGAGGGTGGCCCAGCCTTTCCCGACCCTTCTAGAGCACAAACAAGGGCCTGGCTTGGGCGCAGGGCCAAGACGATGCGAACCCCGCCCTGCCTTCGGGAGCCAGCAGTCGGGAGGCGGGGTGGTACCCTGCCCCGGGAAGGGGGGCGTGACATGGCGAAGAAGGAGGCAGCCAGTCAGGGAAGGCTCCCTGGAGGCGGCAGCCTCCTCCCTGGGCTGCGTGCTGCTCCCACTCGGTGAGGCTGGTCTCCAAGAGGCCTGCAATCTCAGAGGTGGTGACACAGCCCGGTCGTCTGCCCCACCGTAGTGGAGCCAGGCGAGGCCTCAGAGCGTGACGCCCGCACAGTTCAGCCACTTCACGCTCCAGGTGCTGGGGCAGAGCCTGCGGGAAGAGGAGCTGCGCGCGCAGCACCAGGCCGCGCTGCTGCGCCTGCGCGAGAAGGCGCTCGACGCGCGCAGAGCTGGCCTGGCTGGAGCATCGGCAGAGGGTGAACGCATGCGCGCCGCTCCGGCCCCGCCCGCGGTCCTTGCCGCGGTCCTCGGGGCTAAGGGCTGCTGCGTATGGTGATGGGCGTTTCCAGAAAGTTAGATAAGACAGGAAGTACCGAAAAGTGAATACAGAGACAGTAAAACCACCCACATTCCCACCTCTCTGAGATAATCAATCTCTGCTCATTTTCCAGTCTGTCTTGAGAGCTCGTTGATGCAAATGCACGCATGTCTATTTAAACAGCATTGGGAATAGTCGCACATATTGTTTTCGTAGAGACAACACAATCGCCCTAGCCAGCCCCTATAGCTGGACCTCCGGGGGTGTCTCCAACTTTGTGTCGTGAGATGTGACCATCCCGGAGGCGATTTCCTTAAGGTAAATTCCTGGAAGTGGAATTGTCGTCAGTGAGAAAGCATTTTTTAAAGCTTCTTGATATTCCCTTATTGGTCTCCGAATAGGTCCTTCCAGTTAAGATCACCGGCGGTTTACGATCATGCCAGGCTGTGGGTCTTCTATTCCATGATGGCTGCCCCCTCCCTCCCCAAAGGGCCCTCTGGCTGGGCGGGGGCACCAGGGTGGGAGGTGCTGCCCTCCCTTCCTCTCTCAGGCCCAAAGGTGGTCGTGAGGTGTGGGAAGACTGACAGCCTGGGCTGGGACCCTCAGAGTCCCCGGGGGTCCCCGCCTGCCCACGCACGGCCGCCTCCTCCCAGTGCCCTGCTGTGGCAAGAGGGCATGCCAGGTCCACCTGGACCGCCAGACCTCGCCAGGCCTACGGTTTTCACACCTGCTTGCTGGACCCAAGGTCAGCAGTCAGTCCATCTCCTCTCCCAGGTATCTGAATAGCACCAGCAGCTATGCAGCGCTGGTGGCCTCGGCACAGAAGCAGCAGCAGGCCCTCAGCAACATTGAGCGGGAGCTGGTAAGGGCTGCATCCACCCGGGCCAACACCGAGGGGGGTCCCGCTGCCCTACTGGGGCTGGGAACGTGAGCACAGTGGCTGGGCCTCTCCAAGCCTCATTATGGGAAATCTACAGCAGAGCGTGTGCTTCGTGGGGCTGCCGGAGGGGCTGGGTGTGCCTGACCTCAGAGGGGATTCCCAGCTGCTCTGAGCCCAGTTTCCTCAACTGGAAAACGGGGTCAGGGGCCACTGCACTGGTGTCCTTTCCTTTTGGTCTCCTGACACTCTGTGGGGTGGAGGCTGGTGGCCATGCTCTTTATACAGATGAGGAAACTGGGGCTGGGGCTGGCCTTGCTTGGGGACCCTCAGCTGGGAAGTGAGGGGTGGTGGTGGACTTGACCTCCATCCTAGATGACTTGTGTGGACCAGGGAGGTGGGGTGGCAGGCGTGGGGCGTTCCAGGCAGAGGGGGCAATGGGAGCAGGGCAGGGAACTGCGAAGGGGGCTCGGAAGGGGTCCAGTTATCAAGTGAGGCGGTGACCCTGGGGTCCTGTGTTGCAGGAGGAGACACTGGTGGACTCTGGGTCTGGGCCTCTGACCACTGGGGCAAGGGACCCAGCCCAGCTGAGCCTCAGTTTCCTCCTCTGACCTGTGACGGCTGTCACCTCCCACGGGGGCGTGCTCCTGGCAGGGAGGTTCTGTGTGCCGTCCGAGGGGTGTGCCGTCAGAGACACAGCAGGGGCAAGTCAGGGACG